GGTATTTTGGCCAGTTAATGATGAATTTGTTTTTTTACAAACATGCATCTTTTCACTTTACAAGATGTTAACTGATGGACTGGAGTCGTGTGGATTACTTGTGGATTATTGTGATGTTTTTATCAGCTGCTTGGACTCTCATTCTGACGGCACCCATTCACTCCATTGGTGAGCAAGTGATGCAATGCTAAATTTCTCTAAATCTGTTCTGATGAAGAAACAAACTCATCTACATCTTGGATGGCCTGAAGGTGAGGAATTTCAAGGAAATTATAACAATAGAAAGTTTTAATAATCATTCTAATTCTATGAGAATAGTGAAGTCCACACACCACAGTGATAATATCACAGAGGAACAATATCACTGGAATGATGAATCACTTTCAAAATGATTTTTTCCAGCTGATGAATGATAAAAACATTGACATGTCTCTAAACCAGCACTCTTGGCAGCCAGAACCACAGGGGCTCCCTGGGCATGACGAGATGGTCATCTGCATCCCGTCTGGCTCCAGAAGGAGCTCCGCGATCACACTCTTCTGCTGAAGACTTTGAGCTCAGAGCTGCTCTGGAGGAAAGCAGCATGAGGAGAGCAGAGCTCATCCAGAGGCTCCGAGAGGCCAGAGGTCACCTGGATGCTCAGACAGACCTTCTGAAAACCAAAGGATCTCAGCTTCGAGGAACAATATCACTGGAATGATGAATCACTTTCAAAATGATTTTTTCCAGCTGATGAATGATAAAAACATTGACATGTCTCTAAACCAGCACTCTTGGCAGCCAGAACCACAGGGGCTCCCTGGGCATGACGAGATGGTCATCTGCATCCCGTCTGGCTCCAGAAGGAGCTCCGCGATCACACTCTTCTGCTGAAGACTTTGAGCTCAGAGCTGCTCTGGAGGAAAGCAGCATGAGGAGAGCAGAGCTTATCCAGTGGCTCCGAGAGGCCAGAGGTCACCTGGATGCTCAAACAGACCTTCTGAAAACCAAAGGATCTCAGCTTCAACAAAGCCAGAGCATCTCAAACTTTCTGGAGATGAAGCACAAGGTATGGTTGAAGCAGTCTGAGATATCCACAGACTCTGCTGTTGTCT